GGTAATGAATTTTGGTAGGTTTGTTCTTAAGGCGTGTACGTTGATTCTCCTTTTTACAGAAGTGAATTTGGATTAATACTCAGTGAGTTATATGCAGTTTGGTGAGACGCGTTTTCTCTGTTGCGAACTGGGATCAGCGGAGTTTGTAAGTGCGATCGTGGATTCATCGTTTCTCCGATCGGCACCAAATTTTGTAGGGGGCTTCGTGACGTCTGTATCTTGCTTTTCACCGTAGGGATTAAGAAGTTAACGGTTAGTTTATGTTTTAGGGCTTCGTTTCTGCGGCTGTAGTTTTTTTGATGTTTCTGTCCTTTTGGTTCTTAGAGATTTGTGTTTGTGTGGTTTGTTGTAGGGCGTTGTTTGGCTGTTGCAGTCACGAAGAGAGTATTTCCTGGTTGTTTTTGTAACTCAAATCACCTTGTTAAGGTGAGTGCGTGACCATGAGCTTATCTAAGCGATTGGGATTGAGTGACTTGTTGTGTGATGATTTGTAGGTGAACTGGATGTGTTATTGGATGTTTAGCTTGCTGGATGGTTTGTTTTTGTTATATATGTGGGTGTTATCTCATTGCTTGTGTGTATAGCTCGTAGATGGGAGGATCGCCCTCACTAAGTATTTATGAAATACTTATGCATCTCTTTCTTTGATGCAGGTAAAAGCAAAGTGTGATCCGTGGAATCATGGCGAGGAGAGGAGGATGATCTAGGCACTCATTGGTGTTTTAGATTATTGTTGGATTTGTTAGGGTGTTAGAATGGAATTTAGAAACATGTTAGGAGGATCATGTTTTGGAATAATGTTTGGTTGAACTTGTTGGTTTAATGGAATCGTATTATTGGATTTTTGGTTAAGTCTTCCGCTGGATAATATTGTTGGTTTACTTTAATGAGATTGCTTGGTTTAATTGATTTAAATTATTATGGCCGGTTTAGCTGGTTCGAATTAATTGGGTTAATCCGGTTTGCATGTTTAAAAGAAAAAAAATGGGATGGGTTCTTTCAATATATTTGGTTAAAACTTTTGTTTTCAATAATATTTCTTCTTTATTTTATGTACTTCTTCATTTTTTCATTATTTTTTATACTATTAAATATATAATACATATGTATAATAATATTTTATGGCTATAAGGAAATTACTTTATCGATGGGATTCAAAAATATTGATTTCTGACCATCGCACCATAAGAAAATCAAGCTAAATAGACCATCTTCATTGTTTTACTTTATATGTTTTTTTTTCTCACAAATTCATGTATATTTATTTTATTTTCAAAGTATGTAATTATTTTAACAAAATAGTTTTTGGTTATATTCAAACCAATTTGTAAGACATTGAAATAAATAAAATTTTATACACAAATAAAGGTAATTTGTGTGTATATTTATAAGTTTACACACATAAATGGATAAATTTTAACATTTTTAGTGGTTGTTTTGATAAAGTTTGAAAAAGGGGTAAATTTAAAAAATGGTATTTTTAAAAGTGTATTTTTTAAATTCTCCCAATATCATTCCTATTTTATCAAAAAATATTTAAAAGCACTAAAGAAAATTACTATCAAAATTGAACAATTAATCAACGAATAAATTCAAAAGATATGGGTGTATGGTTCTATTGTATGATTTAAATAAATAAAATGTAAAAATGTCATAAACATTAAAATTTATTTAATCTATTTTTATAAGTAATAAATAAATTAAAATAATTAAATAAATATACAATAACCCGCGCATATGCGCGGGACATTACCTAGTGTTTATTATATACATTGGTTTACTTCTTTTTTTTGTGCATTTGTGTTCTTTCTAATCGCAAGCATTATTAATATAAATGGTCAATTTTAAAATTTGTGTTTACATAACTAATTAGAGGATGCCCGTGCTTTCGCACGGATGATGTTTTTTAAACTAATAATATAATTGGGTTTGTATTAATATTTGGTATTCAATAGTATAGGATAAACATAATAGTCTTGTATATTTTAATTAGCGTGTACAATAGTAATTAGGTCTGGTTTTAATATAAGTACGCAAATATTGTATTTTCCCTAAAACCGTTAAATTTATCGATCACGGACATTACCTCAACTGTGTATAAGAAAATGCAATCTTTTAATATAGTTTAGTGAAATTGTATATTGGTTGAAAGATAACATAAGTGATATATAACAATTTCATAAATTTGGATAATCTATTTATGAATTCCTTGTGAATATAATTTAAAATTTGGCAAAAATATTTGATAAACTAATCTGCAAAAAATTAAAATTGAAAGCAAAATATGATAAATATTGTAATTGTAAAAAATTTGGTGGAATCATATTTTTCTCTTCTATAAATTGGCATTGACCATTTAAATGATAAATATTTTCAAAATTGACCATGTTTCCCTTCTCTCCTTAGAACCATGTCTCTGTGTGAGTATCGTTTGGTGGAAGATCCGATGCCAATTCTAGCAAAGCTGCTTCACTTATATGATGTCAGTTTATTTTAAGTCAATCTTTCTGTGGGAAGAGAATGGTTTGCTCGGGCGGTGGGTTTCCTCGGTTGCAGAACCTCATGTTATGTGGAATGATGTACTAATATTAACGCTAATATTATCACAAACCATAAACTAAGGCTTCTACTGGTAACCATTAGAGGAACAAAAGGAAAAAGAACAAAAAGAACAATACGGAACGGAATAAACAACTTTTGAGGAATGAAAAGAAAACATGCAGAGAAGAACAAAATAATAAATGGTAACCAAACAATAACACTATCTTTTATAATATATTTGATTAAATAAATCAACTTTTAATAATAATACTAGATATAATTTATATATAATGAATTTGACACTAATTTTAAAATATATTTTTGAATGAATTTAAATATTTAATGTTAAAAATTAATAATTTATATTAACCTATTATAGATTATAGTAATTTTTTATTTGTTATTTATGATATAAACATCTCTTAAATATGTTTTACTATCCATACAAATTTTAAATAATGTATAGTAAGATTTTTTAACATGAAATTCATATCAAAAATATTTTTTAATGTCAATAAATGATAAAAATATGAAAATATTATATTATGAGATTAAAATATTATTAATAAATAATTTTTTTTTTATTTTAAAATAAAAAACGAATTTTAATATTTGTTCTTTTTTTTGTTCCATTTGTTCCTCATCAATTTTGGGGAGGAACATTTTTGTTCTATTGTTCCTCATTTTGTGAGGAATGTAGAGGAATGATGTGGAAAAATGATTCCTTGTAAATGGTAAAAAAATTGAGGAATGAAGAGGAATGTCACATTCCTTCTCATTTTTTTCCTAAATCATGGTTACCAATCGAGGCTTAAAACTAATTAGATTACCAAACTCCGACAATGTATGAGACGGCGGTTTTAACTTTTTTTGTTTCCCTTAACAAAAATTAATTGCATATCTCTATCTTAAAAACAAAACTAAGTTCCTTAAACAAAAAGAAAAAAATTAACCAAGAAAAAGACAAAAATGTTTTTGTTGAAATGGTTTTATATGTTTTGTTAAATAATATTTATAACCAGAATTTTAGCAACCCCAATTCGGAAAAGGAAAAGAGTTTTTTTAAAAAATCTTTTATAAGAACATCTTTTATTTAACACATACATACATACATCGCTAAACATATACGCCTCTCTCTCTCTCTGATCGGGCAAGTTAGAAAATTCTGATTTGTTTTCCAGAAAAAAAAAAAAAACAATTCCAGATTTCTTTGTCTTGGGAACAATGACAACGATCTCTGATCTTTCAAAAAATTTGGTAGAGAAGATACTCTCGAGGGTTCCCATAGCTTGTGTGGGAGCGGTGAGATCGACATGTAAACAATGGAACACTTTATCGAAACGTAAGTTGTTGTGTAAAGCAGAGGCAAGGCATCAGTTTCTAGGGTTCATGATGAAAAAGTATAAGCTTTGTTCAGTTAGATTCGATCTGAACGAATTTGTGGATCCATCTATAAAGGAATTGGGTGGTTTTCTTAATCAAGTGGAGATATCTAACGTCTTTCAATGCGATGGCTTATTTTTATGTGTGACCAAAGAAGACAACACAAGGCTCGTCGTATGGAACCCTTATTTGGGTCAAACCAGGTGGATCCAACCTCTAAACAATTACCACATACTAGACAGGTATGGTTTCGGATACGACAATAACCGTAAACACAAAATCTTGAGGTTCTTGGATGATCATGAAATAGACCAGAGCCATGTTTTTGGGTACGAAATCTATGATTTTAGTTCTGGTTCATGGAGGGTTCTTGATATCGCTCCCAACTGGGATATAGATTCTTATCAACGCGGTGCGTCTTTGAAGGGAAATACTTATTTTATTGCCAAGGAAAAAATCCTTTTTGGAGAGGATGGAGAGATACCAGAGCCGGCAGATCATTTACTTTGTTTTGATTTTACGAGGGAGAGCTTCGGACCGTTTCTTCCTTTGCCGTTCCACCACTTTCGCTTTGATGCTGGAGCTCTATCTTCTCTTAGAGACGAGAAGCTCGAGGCGTTATATCAGAGCGTGGATAGATCAGAGGTGGAGATTTGGGTTACAAGTACGATTGAGCCCAATGCGGTGTCGTGGATCCCTTTCTTAAAAGTTGATATGAAACCACACTATGGTTCTGGTTTTCAGTTTCAAAACTAGACACCAGACACATCATCTCTCTAATCCCATAACTAACGAAAAGTGAGAATACCGCATAAACTTGCCCTCGACCTCAAACAAATAACAAATGACAATTAACATTTTAAGTACTAAACTAATACAAAATTAAAAAAAAAATTATATAAAATTAGAATAACAAAAATGACAACAACAAAAAAGCCAACAAAAAAAAACAAATTCATAATATAAATTATAAACCTCCCGTGCGCAGCGCGGGTCAACAACTAGTATGTATATAAACCCCCAATTGTACATTTTACATAATTAATGAGAATGAGATTCTTTTACTAATATGGTATCAGAGCGTTTACACTCTCGTTCTCTCTAACAAATTTTTCTGATCTTCCGCCGGAAAAGTTTGTTACGTTACCGGAGTTCTTCGATTCCGATCTCGATTCTTTGCTGTAGTCTTCGCTTCTTCTCTTCTTTCGATTCCTCCTCAGATTCAGCTTGATTTCGCCTCTCATCGTTCGATTTCAGCTCATCTGTTCTCCATGGGAAAACGAAAGACGAACTCGAAGTATCGATCCTCTACACCAGATCTACCGGAAAACGATTCTCCGATCTCTCATGACAAGACTCGTAGCTCTTCACCGTCGCGTAATGCTCTTGGCTCTGCGTATCCGGTTTCTAATGCTCGATTCAAGTCATTTACTCCTCATTTTGAAATCTCGAACTCTCCAGACAATATCCACAGTCCTTTTCACCTTCACAGCTCCGATCATCCAGGTCTCGTTCTTGTCCCTGATCTCTTAGATGGAACCAATTATGGCACCTGGATTGTTGCGATAACCACTAGTATCGAAGCTAAGAACAAACTAGGATTTGTGGATGGTTCTCTTGTTCGACCTGATGAATCCGATCCTTACTTTCTGATTTGGAAACGTTGTAATAGCATGGTGAAGTCGTGGCTATTGAATAGTGTCTCGAAACAGATCTACTCCAGCATTCTCTACTTTGCTACAGCAGCAGAGATTTGGAAAGATCTCTACACTCGATATCACAAATCCAATCTCCCACGTCTCTACAAGCTTCGCCAGCAGATACACTCTCTTCGTCAAGGAAGTATGGATTTGTCTTCGTATCACACCAAAACTCAAGCTCTTTGGGAAGAATTGTCTAGTCTTCAGGTGACTGCAAGATCTGTTGAAGATTTACTTGCTGAAAGAGAAACAAACCGTGTCATAGACTTTCTCATGGGACTCAACAACAACTATGACACTGTTCGTAGCCAGATTCTTATGAAGAAAAGCTTGCCTTCTCTATCTGAGGTTTACAATATGCTGGATCAGGATGATTCTCAGAGGTCTGCTTGTCTTCCTCAGACTGCTACTTTAGACTCTACAGCATTTCAAGTCTCTCAGCAAACATCTCAGAGCACATCTTCTGGTGGTTATCAAAAGAAGGATAAACCTGTCTGTACTTTCTGTGGTAGAATTGGACATGTCTGTACTTGATCTGGTTACTAATGATGTTTTCATCTCTAGACATGTAATTTTTCATGAGCAGCTCTTTCCTTTTGCTAAAATAGATCTAACTCAGGAAGCTAAAAACTCTTTCCCTGATCTTAATAGCAACTCTCCTATGCTTCACCAATATTCTGTTGAGGATGCTTCTCCATCTTCATCTTCCTTAGAGACTATGCCTTCTGCTAGTCCTAACATAGATGTTCCTGAACCTTCTGTTCAAACATCGCATAGGAGAACAAAGAAACCTGCTTATCTTCAAGATTACTACTGTCATTCAGTAGGATCTTCAACCATACATGAAATTGCTCAATTCCTTTCTTATGATAAAGTGTCAGTGCTTTATCTTTCATTCTTGACTTCCATAGACAAAAATAAAGAACCCTCAACCTACACTGAAGCAAAAGAAGTTCTTGTGTGGTGTGGAGCTATGGATGATGAAATTGCTGCATTGGAGAATACTCACACATGGGAAATTTGTACTTTACCTCCAAATAAAACACCCATTGGTTGCAAGTGGATTTACAAAATCAAATATAATGCTGATGGTAGTATTGAGAGGTACAAGGCTAGATTGGTTGCAAAGGGGTACACTCAAACAGAGGGAGTTGATTTTAATGATACCTTCTCTCCAGTCTGCAAACTCACCTCAGTGAAGCTTCTTCTTGCTGTTTCTGCTATATATGGCTTCACTCTTCACCAATTAGACATCTCTAATGCTTTTCTAAATGGTGATTTAGATGAAGAAATATATATGAAGCTTCCTCCAGGGTATTCATCACAACAGGGGGACTCTCTTCCACCCAATGCAGTTTGCAGATTGCAGAAGTCTTTGTATGGTCTCAAACAGGCTTCTCGACAGTGGTTCTTGAAGTTTAAGACCACTCTTACAGATCTGGGTTTTGTGCAGTCTCATTGTGACCATACTTGTTTCATGAAAATCACTAATGCTCTTTTCTTATGTGTTCTGGTTTATGTTGACGATATAATCATCGCCAGTAACAATGATGCAGCCGTGGAGCTTTTGAAGACTCAGCTCAAATCCAGTTTTAAATTGCGTGATCTTGGCCCCTTGAAGTATTTTCTCGGTTTGGAGATTGCCAGGTCAGAAGCTGGTATCCATATTTGCCAACGTAAATATGCTTTGGATTTGCTTGATGAAACAGGTCTCTTAGGCTGCAAACCATCCCCTGTTCCCATGGATCCCAGTGTTAAGCTTTCCAAAGATAATGGTGGTGACTTAGTTGATAGCAAAGCATATAGGCGTCTCATTGGCAAGCTCATGTATCTGCAAATCACGCGCCCTGATATCACGTTTGCTGTCAACAAGCTCAGCCAATATTCAGAAGCTCCTCGCCATGTCCATTTACAAGCTGTCTACACCATTTTACACTACATTAAAGGCACAATTGGACAAGGTTTGTTTTATTCTTCTCAAGCTGAGCGTCAACTTCAAGTGTTTGCTGATGCAGATTATGGTTCCTGCAAAGACACAAGGAGATCCACCTCTGGCTACTGCATGTTCTTAGGTACTTCTCTCATTTGCTGGAAGTCCAAGAAGCAAAAGGTTGTCTCCAAATCTTCTGCAGAATCTGAATATCGCAGTCTTTCTTTGGCCACTGATGAATTGATGTGGCTGACTCAGTTCTTTAAAGAGCTTCAGATTCCTTTGAGCAAACCTACTCTTCTGTTTTGTGATAACACAGCAGCCATCCACATTGCTAACAACTCTGTGTTTCATGAAAGAACTAAACATATTGAATCTGACTGCCACAGTATTCGTGAGAGGTTAGTTGCAGGTTTGTTCAAACTTATTCATGTCAACACTCATTTGCAACTTGCAGATCCTTTCACAAAAGCTCTGCATCCAGCTCCTTTCAATCAATTGGTAAGCAAGATGGGTCTTAGAAATATATTTGCCCCATCTTGAGGGGGACTATTACAGTATATGCTCTCTTGTATAGTACATTGCTTTTGTATAGCTTAATTAGAGTCTGTATAAGTTGAGATTAGCTGGTTTAGAGGCTTTGGTTTAGGCCTGGTCATCTATATATATAAAGTTACCTTTCCTCTCTTCTCCTTCTGCCACATCATCCGCCACATCATCAACTTTTTTAAAAAAAATTAGTAATAATTTCAAAAAGGCATGGGCTTGAGACCCAACGATTACACAACAATCAAACTGGTTAAGGAAGATCGAGAAAACGTTGGATACACGAATTTGGAACTGGATAGTTAAACATCGGATACAACAATCAAACCGGTTAAGGATAGATTGGAAAAACATCTACTATAACCGTTGTTTAGAGAGCAACTTCTTTGCAGCTATGCACCGATTTTGAAACCATTGGCGAGAGTACGCAGATTTAAGCATAGAAAGAAACAAAAAACAAGCCAACTCCAGGAACAACTATCATGGAATAGATCAAAACTAGACACCAGACACATCATCTCTCTAATCCCATAACTAACGAAAAGTGAGAATACCGCATAAACTTGCCCTCGACCTCAAACAAATAACAAATGACAATTAACATTTTAAGTACTAAACTAATACAAAATTAAAAAAAAAATTATATAAAATTAGAATAACAAAAATGACAACAACAAAAAAGCCAACAAAAAAAAACAAATTCATAATATAAATTATAAACCTCCCGTGCGCAGCGCGGGTCAACAACTAGTATGTATATAAACCCCCAATTGTACATTTTACATAATTAATGAGAATGAGATTCTTTTACTAATAATTGCAGGATTCAAAAAGGTAAGAGAAGAAGAGGACGAGAACCAACAAGCACCAGCTAAGAAGAAGACTAACTATTAATTAAGAAGGTGACGTGATAGAGCAATATGTGGAAGATACAATGACATATATACCAGGATTTACTTGGTTATTATTATTATTATTTTTTTTAATTCTTGACTGTCACAATGTTCGTTCTCTGGACAAGCAAGACCAGTCAATTCTTATTATTCTTGTAAATAATAAATGATAAATATTTTCAATAGCACGAATAGAACGCAAGCATTATTAATAGAAATGGTCAATTCTAAAATTTGTGTTTACATAACTAATGGTAAACATGGAAGGGTTAAAGTTTTCGGCTCTCAAAATTACACATCTTAGACGACATATGTGAAACTCTATTTGGAGACAAATAAATATTATGAATACATCTTCCAACACAGTTTGCAAAACCAGAGAAAAATAACTCTCCTTATCCATTAGAGGACTAGAAACAATTTGAGGTTTCTAGACTTTGAGAAAGTGCATGATTATAATTTGAGGATGTATCATAACTAAAGTATTGTTGTAAGTATACTACTAAAGCTAAAATGCTCGAGAAGACTTGCTTTACATTTTATTTTAATAAAATCGTGTATAGAAAAATAGTGAGGAGACAATATATATGATATGTTTTGATTGAAAATCAATTCATAGTTGAATATGTTATATGAGAGTCGATAAAACGTGAAAAGGTATTAGAAAACAACGAATAAATCATAGAA